CAGAACCCCGTACATTAAAACAAGCAAATCAATTCCTTGGAAAATTGAATTGGTATCGCCGTTTCATACCAGGTTTTGCACAAATTAGTGCTCCTCTTCATAAAGTTACCAACAAAACTCGGCGTCACCGTAAAGATTTCTATTGGCATCAGGAACAACACAATGCATTTATCAAATTAAAACAAGTATTAACCACAGCACCATTATTTCTTACGTTTCCGCATCCGACAGCTCAGTTTATTCTCTCAAGCGATGCCTCCGGCTACGCAATCGGCGGCACGTTAAAACAAGAAATTGATGGACACATTCATTATAATTATTATTTGTCACGATTGCTAAACGCGGCTGAACGAAACTATTCTACTATCGAACGTGAAGCACTAGCTATCTTCTGGTCGCTCGAAAGACTCCAACATTATTTGGGAAATAGATCCGTCATTATTGAAATCGATCATCGTCCGCTCCAAAATTGTCGCAAGAATTATAAATTACAGAACAAACGCATTAATACATGGCTAATAAAATACCAAGACTTATTACCTAATATTCACACTATTACATATAAAAAAGGGCGCACTAATGGTGATGCAGATACGATGAGCCGTCCCGACATCGATGATGATTATTTGAAGACAATAAACACTCTATTATTTTCGTCACTTACCCAATTCAACGTTGTTACCCGGTCTATGATGAAAGCTTCGGCATCGACCACAACGACATGTCATACATCAACACTTCCGCCTCCTTCTCTTTTATCACAGCCACCTTCGTCTTTTACTGTCAATTACACTCTGGACCAAATTAAACAAGCTCAACACGCAGATTCCACAATGTACCAAAAAATTCGTTTGATCGACTACCCAGGTCCAAAAAAACGGTTAACGTCGAGTTAACGGCACAAAAAACGGCTCGTTAACGTTCTCAAAACAGCAGAAAACCGGCCAGTTGGCGGCCAATCTCTTGGCGGCACCTTACGATTTGTTTCCCGTTCAGCAAACTATGATTACTATACTATATATATATGGAAGTTTAACGGAAGCTATGGTATGGTATTTTCATACATAGGAGCCCACGCGTGGAAATTCATGGTATTTATTGCAAACATAAATAGCAAATTCACAGTTTTGTTTACAAGCAATATGGTATAATCAGAATGTGCTGGATTTATAATTCTAGGTACGTGTGTTCGAATCTCAATCCTGGCAATCAATTATAATTGTATATGTGAGTGATAAGTGATATTCAAGACGATACAACGCATGGGTGACGTCCTGAAGCTCTGTATACATCTTCTGTAGAAGATACTGGAAACGAAAAATAATTTTTTTCTAAACTGACCGTTAAAGGCCGTAAACGGTCGTAAACGGTCACGGCGCAGTTACGACCGTAAAACGGCCGGCGTATGTACGACCGTTTACTGCCGTATTTGCACCGTATACGGCCGTTTACGATGCAAATACGGTGATTTACGGTGGTCGTATAGGACTGTATACGGTCGTTTACGGCAGTCGTAAAACTGGACCTGGGAAGGACTATCCAAATTTATTACCAAAAATGTGTTTCAGCAGTGTGTGATCGTTCCCACATTGCGGAATTGCTCAGAAAATGTTTTTCCAAGAAAGTGTTTGGGTCCCCATGGATCCACCCACGAACGATGTTCGAAATTGGCGGAAGAAGAGAAGAAGAAGAACGACGGCTACTCACTTCTAGCTAACGAACGAATCAGGATTCCCGCATATCATGCTTTCAATATTTAAATCAAAACAAACAGACCATTAATGATCACAAATACGGAGAACGACCACAACGATTACGAAATCACATCACTGAAAGAGACTCCATGCGTAGAGAATAGGATCATCACACCACACAACAACATGATGGTTCAAGGTAACGAACCTATCAGAAGAAGTAATTATCGTTTACCTCGATCAACCATTACCCAAGATGACGGCTATAAACCAATCACAAAGAAATGCAATCGAGCGAAACCATTGCGAGAAGGAAGAAGAAGAGGAAGAAATGCGGTCAACATCGATCGGAGAACCGAATCAATTAAACACGTCGGTGAACGTACACCAAAAGAAAAAATTAAAGCAGTTCATCTCTTCCTATCCTGGTATAGCCAGAGAAAAATACGGCCGAACGACAAAGCAAATGAATGGCCAATCAATGGCAGAAACAATCCAGCAAGATATTCGGGCTCCTGTCGCTTAACCGAACAACTTCCACCGATCGCCTCCACGGTGCGACGGATCAATGACAACGTAAATCTTGGAGCCACCAATGCATACCGTCTCAAACCGTATCGAGAGAACGAAATGGATGAAGATCAATCCAAAACGAGAAAGAGACCGAAACTTGGAACGCACAGGAGCGCGTCCCAGCTGGACGGGGGAGGACAAGATTGATTGATTCCAGATGCGAGAAATCACCTCCCTCTCCGCCTACTATATGCAGACAGAGACTCTCCCTCTTTCCTATCACATTGTTCATTCTCCTTATCAATTTGTTCATCCTTCCTGTCACTATCTTTTTAATCAATCAATCCCTCTCCTCTCTCCCTGTCTCGAAGGGACACAGGAGAAAGAACACGTATAAAAGGGAGAAGAAGAGAACAATAAACAGGCTCGATAACACCAAGACTTCTGCTAGTTACAGTGGGCACCCATTTCGGTAATCGTTTTCTCAACTTCGCTGAGCTTTTGTATTTTACTTCTGTTTCAATTCCATTCTAATATTGAGCAGTTAAAATATACATCACTTATTGAAATGAAAATCTCGTTTATTTTTCGATGCGCGAAAAGAATACAAACAAGGGAAAATCTGTTTTGCAAAAAGATCGAAGATGTGGATGAGGATGAACATGAGTATGAATGTGACGCTAGCAGAGTGTCAGTATATTAGCCTCTCAGCACATCCATCCTTAAGATTCAGCGTTTGATTATTTGCGGAGAATTGTATAGCCACTTGGGAACACATCTTTCAGCTGTCTTAGCCCGACTTTAATCACCTGCTGCTTGCTTGATGAGGAATGTATAAAATTGTCACTATCGACAAATATCCTACAGTGAACCCCATCGTTGCCAACCACCACATCGAGTGCTTGAGGAATCTTTGTGGAATAAAAGTGTAGTGACAAAGTTTAAAAAATAGAAGAAAAGGCGATTTACCTTCGCCTTTTAATTTGTGGTACCCGTTTTAAAAGTTTTCCTATATGAGTCAAAAAAATCACATTTTTCTCAATACTCAAACCGTGCTCATTAGATTCGCCGTCAAAAATAGAACATGCTTATGTAATTTTGGCGAAAGTACAGCGGTTTGAAAGCCTTTAATAGATCGAAAAAGCCATTTTCAACGCCTTTTCCTACAGTTGTTTAGAAAAAAATGAGTTTTTGCAAAAAAAGCACATTTTTTTCGACTCTCAAACTATGCTCATTCGATTCCTCGTCAAAAACTGAATACGTCCATGTAGGTTTGGTCGTGTCACACGCAATCCTCAGAAGGACAGTGAGAAAACAATTTTTGAAAAACCCGTTTTTTGGCGATTTTTTTGAGTTTTCTTACCTTTTCGACCTGAAGAATCGTTTTTTCCAAACTTTTCGACACAGATTCTGAAAGCTGAAATCGCGGCCAGTAAGATCTTGTGTGTTTCGAGGTTTGTTGTCGCTTACCCGAGCATTTAATGTAGAAAAAACGAAGGTGAGTCATTTTGGCCACTTTTTGATAGATGGCGGTTTTCTCGGTCAAGGACAAGTTTTTCCCAGATTTTGACCTCATATTCGTTATTAGCTTTAAATTCTGCGTCTAGTGATGTGTCATGTAACCACTTTCAAGAAAAAAAAATTTTCGATGTTGCAAAGGGGGACCTCAGCCGTAAAATTTTTGAAAAAAATGAAAGTGAGTTTTTTGAAAATCTGAAGCAACAGTTTTGTTCAGAATTTGATGCTGATTTCAACCATGTAATTTTTATTCGAAAAAAATTGAGGCCACAGAACCGCCTTATCCGCTTCCCTCCTTTTCGTAAAACCCGCTTTTCGGTAGACTTTTAGAACTTTTTCTAAAAACAAATATTGCCACAAGACTCAGCATGATTGATTACCTATAGTCCATCCATTTTCAAGGCTATCAATAGTCACCCGGTACCAGTCCTGGGAATCGCAAGAAATCCGACACAACATCCGAGCCGCAGAAAACCTAGGTCTCGCCTCGCACTCATTTTGAAGAGAATACCTTGGGCTATCATAGCATGGTAGAAAATCAATACAATCCTATTGAAAATTTTTGCACAAAGCCTGGTTTTCCAAAGATCTCAGCGCTGTTTCTCTTTGGTTTTGAGTAAAAGCCGTTTTTCTCAGCAAAGAAAAAGAATTTTGAAAAAAGCTCTTCATACTTTTAAAGCCGGTTTCTTGACCGATTTAATGGTGTATGAATCAAAGGTATAGCCCTTCATCGAAAAAACTAGATAGGCTTACAGAATGAATGATGCTCTAGTTGACACCCGCCAGTTTCGATATCCATGGCGGACGAGTGTTTACCTTTAAAATGAACTGAAGACCTTTTCCTAAATCAGTTTTTAACGCTGATTCAAAAAAACATAGTTTCAACCTTCCATCTTGTAATAAAACTTCAAAAAAGTCAATTCTACGATAAAGGTCATCTTTTTCGTTTTTTTGGGCCCATGCAGTATTTTAGGTTTTTCTCCATGAAAAAAGGACTTTTAAAGGTTTTAAAGGTGATATTCGTGACCAGCTCAACAAGAGGAATCAGAATATGTATGACAAATTGAAAAATAAAATCCACTCCAATTTTGCATTAGCTGCACCTTATAAATCTGTCTGCAATGACGAATGATAGGTCTAACCTCTGCGAGAGACCAGAATATGTACCTGCCCCGTTACGCAAAAAGACAAGGTTTTCAATTTTCGACGATGATGAATTTTAGTGCAGAAAACATTTTTTGTCACGTCAGTTAACGCTCAGAAATTGGAATAGATTAGCCGAAGATCATTTTGTTCCGGGACAATGGCTAATCGAGTATATAACATTAATCCTCGATGGTAGCTTGATCATTTCTAAGCTTATTGCCAGAAATTGAATCAGTTGCTTATTTTGTTTTCTGACCTATTAGCTGTTTGATTTGTTTTTGATGTTTTTTGCTTGTGTTCTAAACATCAGAAATGTCAATATTGGATAGGTTTATATTGAATTAAATGTTAAAATAGCAATTATTGAGCGCACGATTGACGATCCTGTCTGAACAATGCCAAGCGTGAGCAAGAGGTTATAACTTCCGAATGGAACAAACGATAGAAAACACCATAATACATAGATAACAAGCTGTACAAGTAAATAAATTAACGGTTTGAATTCATGCGATTTTCGTTGGCTTCTAAACAAGTTACGACTTGAATATAAGCGGTAGACTAATGCGAGTGTCGAAATAATCACTAATAGAGTTGGTAAGAAAGTAGTGAATATTAGCCATGATAATACTAGGGCAAAATTTCGATTAAAACATGCTATACATGGTGTGTAACTACATTGTGGTATGAGAATAATTGCTGATGAACAACATAGTGCAAAAATGAATAAAATTGAAATGGGATATAATTGTCTTTTCACTGTTAATTTCGCAGTTTTTTTAAACATATATAGATGACGCTCGATAGTTGCCCACACTAAGGAATATAGTATACCGATTACGGTAGTAAAATAACCAATTCCATACAAAAAACAGAGTATTTTTGAATATTCGTATGCAGACAGATAATATCCAATTAGGAGTATCGGCACAACGACGGTACTCATGATTAAACAATAGATGAGAATATAATGAAATAAATAAGTGAAATGTGTATAAATTTGTGGATTTTTGCGTCTTAGAAATCGCACTAGACATATAGAACTAAAACATGTACCAGTTAAAGAACCAATGGAGTTTGCTAAAAGAAAATAAATGCTCAGATCGTATGGTGAACGATAGATAGTATTTGACTGATTATTCAGTGTTGTATTATTACTATCGAATAATATTATCATCTCACAGACCTGAAACACGCAAAATCGTAGAATACACACAGCCCGAATATTTCTTTTCTTCCGTTGGTTGATGTCGAATTCCACTCACATCAGTATCTCAATACAAAAGATTACAAAAGCAGTGGAACCGTGTCTTTTAATCACTGTGGAAAAGTTATAACTTTGTAATTAGAAAAGAGAGTACTTAGAAATTGAAAATTGCAATGTATTTTGTGTGTGACCAGTATTAATACTGTTCTACATTTTATTTTAACTAATAGAGCACGAGCTACATTTTGGTAAACAAATAATTTTGAAAAGCCTTTTCCTTAGGGTGAAAACGCGACTTTAAGCCAAAAGTGTCATGCGCGAAAGTACTTAAGATCCGTGGAATTATCTTTTCATTTAATTAATTAATTGACAGACTAGTAGTAGAAATGAATGTACAGTTCACAAATCTTAGTTGAAACGTAAGATAAAAAAAGCGTAATTCAAAAACGAGAGATTCGTCCATTAATAAATTATGGCAGGCGTTTCCTTATGGAAAAAGACTCACGTTGTTTGGACAGAAGCAGTCCTGTTCGCTCTGCAGCTAATAAACTGAGTACCATTTCTACATTGTGCCCGAGATTGAACGATCAAGAAAACGATTAAACTGTAATCATTTATCTTCAAAGAAAGCACTAAAAATCACTGCTGTGAGTTGAACAGAAACACAAATAAAATTTATGCACTCACAGAGAAATCTTCTGTACTTTTAAATGTTTATATAATTTGAGACATAGTTTAGTCTGAAATGAATACCGTGCTCGAAATTTCTAACTTTGTTATTTTTTTCTTTCTGTACAAATTCACAGACGTTAAAGTCATTGAATAGCTGAACTAAAATGAGTTTATGGGCAAATTTAAATTCTATTTTTCAACGTAATAGTAAATTGATATAATGAATCTTCAATATAATCCTGTTTAAATGATTTTTTTTCCATTCAAATTAATAGTCGAGAATAGTAATACTGCACGGCAGACACAATATCGTCTTCATTTGTGTGAGCAGCTCACTAACCAAATTCCTTCGGTATCTTCTAATATCAATGATGACATAGACTACAATTCAAACGATTTTGACGAAGACTTTAATAATGAAATTCCTGCTTCTTTTACTAATTACAATAATGACGAAGACACCTTGTCCTCATTTTTCGAGTTTTCGATTGAGGGGGGGGGGGGGGGATTTCCGCCCCTTTTTTGAATAGGGGGGAAAGTGGGGGCCGGTTAACAAATATTGATTTAGAAAAAAGGCCC